AAAGGAGCCATGGATATACAATGGGGAAATGACAGCCTCTTCCACAGTTGGTGTTGGCAAAACTGGACAGCTACATGTAAGAGAATGAAACTGGATTATTGTCTAACCCTACACACAAAAGTAAACTCAAAATGGATCAAACACCTGAATGTAAGACATGAAACCATAAAACTCTTAGAAGACAACATAGGCCAAAATCTCTTGGACATAAACATGAGGAACTTCTTCATGAACATATCTCCCTGGGCAAGGGAAACAAAAGCAAAAATGAACAAATGGGACTATATCAAACTAAAAAGCTTCCGTACAGCAAAGGACACCATCAGTAGAACAAAAAGACATCCTACAGTATGGGAGAATATATTCATAAATGACATATCCGATAAGGATTGACATCCAAATTATATAAAGAGCTCATGCACCTCAACAAACAAAAAGCAAATAAGCCAATTAAAAAATGGGCAGAGGAGCTGAACAGACACTTCTCCAAAGAAGAAATTCAGATGGCCAATGGGCACATGAAAAGATGCTCCACATCGCTGATCATCAGAGAAATGCAAATTAAAACCACAATGAGATATCACCTCACACCAGTTAGGATGGCCAACATCCAAAAGACAAACAACAAATGTTGGCAAGGTTGTGGAGAAAGGGGAACCCTCCTACACTGCTGGTGGGAATGTAAATGAGTTCAACCACTGTGGAAAGCAGTATGGAGGTTCCTCAAAAAATTCAAAATAGAAATACCATTTGACCCAGGAATTCCACTCCTAGGAATTTACCCTAATTCTGCAGGAGCCCAGTTTGAAAAAGACATATGCACCCCTATGTTTATCACAGCACTAACAATAGCTAAGAAATGGAAACAACCTAAGTGTCCATCAGTAGATGAATGGATAAAGAAGATGTGGTATATATACACAGTGGAATATTATTCAGCCATAAGAAGAAAACAAATCCTACCATTTGCAACAACATGGATGGAGCTGGAGGGTATTATGCTCAGTGAAATAAGGCGGGCAGAGAAAGACAAGTATCACATGATTTCACTCATCTGTAGAGTACAAGAACAAAGAAAAAACTGAAGGAACAAAACAGCAGCAGATTCACAGAACCCAAGAATGGACTAACAGTTACCAAAGGGAAAGGGACTGGGGAGGGTGGGTGGGAAGGGAGGGATAAGGGGGAAAAAGGGGTATTATGATTAGCACACATAATGTGAAGGGGAGGGAAACAGGGAAGGCTAGTATAACACAGAGAAGACAAGTAGTGATTCTATAGCATCTTACTACGCTGATGGACAGTGACTATAATGGGGTATGTGGTGGGAACTTGATAATGGGGGGAGTCTAGTAACCATAATACTGCTCATGTAAAATCATACATTAATGATACCAAAAATATATATATGAATATAAAAGTCACTCTAAGGTCACAGGTTATACTAAAATACCTGAGAAGCCAGGTTTGGTCATGATGCTCAAACCCTTACATTTTTTTACACTAAAATTTTTTTATATTTCTAAAATTCCATGAAGTATGAGAAAATGGTTAAACATGATATAAGAAGCATACAATGAAACCTCTCCCTTCTATCCCAGAGGTCTACTTCCCCTTTCCTGTTTTTGTGTATCCTTCCAAATCTATAGCCAATATTAAACCTATCATCATAAACAGCCTTATACATACATAACTTTTCACATATGTATCATCTATAGGATAAATCCCTGGAAACAAAACTGCTGGGTTAAATTTCATTAAAATAGTCATTCCAGCATGTAACTGGTCAGTACCTGTAGTTTCTCCTGTGTTCAGGATAAGCCTTCCAACATGCCTTCACCTATTTCCCACCTTCCCCACCAATTTGAAAATCATGTAAAATATTTGTTCTAGATTACAGATTTTAAAACTGTACCTATTGTGGTTAATGAATATTTTTTATAGCATTACATTAAATTTCTTAGCATAGTTATCAATGCCTTGGAGTAGAGAATTAAGTTCACTGTTTTGTTTGATTACTGTTTTTTGAATTCCACCTCTATTTTTCTTGGATTAATTTTTCATTAGATATAGTACATCTTGGGATATTCCTAGTGGGTATGGATGAAAATGATTTTATTTTTCCCTCAGTCTGAAAGACAGTTTGGTTAGGGATAAGATTCTGAGTTCAAAATATGTTCCATGAGCACTTTTTAAACACTGATCCACTTCATCTAATATTCCCTGTCCCAGATTAGAAGTTAAACTGCAAGTCTGATTTCCACTCGTTTATAGGTAACCAAGCTTCTCCGTGGAAGCTTTTGAGATTGTATATTGATCCATGAAGGTCATAAATTGCATTAGAATGTATGTAGGTGTGTCTATAAATATTCTTTTAAGACTCTCAGTATGTCTATTCCATTCACAAATTCATACACTTCTACTCAGAGAAATTTCCTTGTTTCTTTCTTTTGTTCCCTTGACACAGTATTTTGTTCCCATTCTACTGTAAGGTAGAAATGGAAAATCTGTCATCTACTGTGTGTTGTGAAGGGAGGAGAATGGTGAGCAAGAGCTGTTAGCATAGCCAGAAACCCTCAACCTATGCCACATCTTTCCACAAGCTCTCTCTAAAGTTATACTTCCTGATCAGCCCCACCTTACAGATAAAGAAGTGGAGAGGGGAAAGGGGAAGGTGGATTTGTATTTGCCAGTGCTTTATCCCCTGATAAATGTGGCTTCATTGCCCTAGACTGCCTGGATTATCCTACTCTCATCTCTGTGGTCATTTCTCCTCTTCCAATTTCTATTCCGTCCTGGAAGTCCTATTAGAAGTACACTGGCTCTTCTGTATCTATTTTCCATGTCGTGGCTATTTTTTCCTACTTTCTACGTTTTAATATTCTAGAACTGATTGCTTTTATAAGGGCAGCCTGTATATGTTCAGCAGGCATGATACACTCCCAAATCTGAGCATACTAATATTTATTTTAAAGTTCTCTCCTTCTTCTTCTTCTTTTTTTTTTTTTTTACAGTAACTCCAATACTTCAGGTCTAGTTCTTTTATTTGCTCAGTCTGGGGCATCTCTGACATACTACTGATTTCTCACAAATGTTTAGAATATTTTTGTCTCTACCATAAATGTATCAGTAGCTGAGTACACGCAGAAATCAGTTGTCTTACAGCAAATCCACATTTGTAACTAACTCTATACTTCAATTTTACAGTTAAACCTAGTACTTGTGTAAGTTCTTTGACTTGCAATCTCATGATTCTTCAATCCATTTTTAGTCATATCCTTTTGGAAAGTTTCGTTTCCCCTAACAACCACTAACTTGGGTAACACAGTTTTTACCTAAGTGTTACGCAACAAGCTGCAGGGACAGATCATCACCAGCTTTAAGAGACTTGTCTACCAGTTATAAATAAGTAATGACAGTCTGGTAGAAGTCCAGGAAGTAAATAATAATACAGTAATGAATCACTTAAATCTTGAACTTGTAATAGTTATGCTTTTTACCCATCTTTAATGTTACAGAAGTTAAATTCTCTTAAAAAAAAAAGGGGAAGACTGTGTTGGCTAAAATTTCATTTTCTGCCTACTTTATGATTCAGCCATTCCACAACTGACAGAAATGCATGCAAATGTTCACCAAGACATTTACAAGAATATTCATAGCATTTTTCAAAATATATAACAAGAATTGGAAACAGAAATATCTATCAACAGAAGAGTAGTCATATAATCATATAATGGAACATTACACAGCAATAAAAAAGAATTAACTGATACATGAAACATCATGGGTGAATCTCACAAGCATGTGCACACTGTATGATTCCATTAATATACAGCCCAAAACAGACAAAACAAATAGATGGTGACAAAAATCAGAATACTGACTGAAGAGCAGGAGTAAAATTCAGTTAGTAGAAAGAGAAGGAAAATCCTAGGATGATGAAAATGTTCTATAGGTATAATCTAATCTGCTGGTGGTTACACAAGTTAATAAATACATAAAAATTCACTGAGCTGTACAATTAAGGTTTATGCAAATGACTTCATGTTTTTAATACCTCAGCAAAAAAGTTAACAAATGAAAAAAAAAGTAATTTCGAGACTGTTTAGAACCAAAACTGTGCTTATTTATGTCAAAATTCTCTGGGGCATAAATACTGGAAATCCAACACCCTTTTTAACCATCTTTTAGTCCCATTACAATTTTAAACACTTTATCAGAATAATATAAAATGAACGTTAACATTCTCAGTCTTAAAATATTTGGTTTCCCTCTTCCAAGTTTGAAAGGACTATTTTAATACAACATTAAAAAGATTAATTCCACCAAAAATGAAGGCCCAGCCCCTGTGAACTTTCAAAGATGGTTAAATTCCAGGTATGTGCATGTAAATTTCAAGAGCAGACTGAAGGATAAAAGCTTAAGATTTACAGTCAAATTTTCATTTTGCCAATAACAACTTCACAAAGAAAAGATTTAAGAATCCTCGGCAAGGACCTCAGGAATAGCGTAACTTTCAACAGTAAGTGTGAAAATGCAAGAGGCTCCGCCTGCCCTGGTATCCTCGGCCGCCTAATTCTCACACAAATGTGCATCTGGCAGACACAGCGAGGAGCTGCTGTCAGAGGTTACATCAACGCGACCACCAGGTAGCAGCTGACTGCAGAGTTTACCCACCGACAAGCAGAGTTGTTGGTGAGGTGTTAACAAAAAAGAGCGATAAAAATCAAACACCAAAACCAACGGTCTCTGGTAGCCTCGTTCTCAAAAGATAACTCAAACCGCTCCGAAAAAACCGCGGCTTTTCCTGACACCGAAGCGGACTCTGGAGGGCTTGTCCGCAGGCGACCGCACTGGAATGGGATCCCCCTGAGGGCTCGTCCGTGGAGTGACCCACCGCCCAGGGACCCAGAGCTGTCGGTCCGCGCCCCAGCATCCACACTGCTCCGCCCGGGACAGCAGCAGGCGGGCGAGCGAGGCCGGGTGGGCCGCGTACTCACCGCACTCACTAGCCTGCGCAGGGCTGCAGCCTCCTCCCTGGCCTCGGGCATACCCGGGCGGCGCCCGGCGCGCTTCACAGCCCACCCTCTGGGCGCGCCGCCGCGCCGCCAACAGCCACTTCCGGCGCGCGTGAGGAAATGAGGCTGCCGCGGCGGCGCGCGCCCGCCCCACCCAGCCACCGCCCGAAGAGCTCCGCCTCTGCCCGCCCGCTACCCAGGAACCCCGCCCACGCCCCCAAGATCTTCGCTCACGCCTGCTAGTGCCCAGGTCCCAAGAGCCCCGCCCCCGCCCCCGCCATCTCCGCCCATGGTCCCGGGAGTCCCACCCACGTCCCCCATTAACTCCTCCCACGCTCCTGAAAGAACCTCCCACTTTCCCTCAAGTCCTGCCAGCGCCCTGCCCCGAGAACCTCCACCGCGCCCAAGCCGGGCATGGAAAGCTCGGTAACCGGCATACAGCACCGACTGATACGTCATCTACTAAAAACGTGTGTGTGGTTTCCAAAAGGATTTGTGTGGATGCCAGGAGAGTGCTCCGGACAGGACACCGCGTCTGCCAGAGCAGGCGTCTGTAGGGACAAGTCTTCGAGCTCTGGCGGGCTGTGGGCTTTGCAGACAGGAGGCCTCGCCCCGGAGGCCAACTCTATCCTGCCCCGGAGCCCCGTCCGGGAGCTGAAGGGGGCGATGAGCGCCTGCGTGGGCTTGGGGCTAAGAACTGACAGGTCGCCAGCTGTGCCCCGACGTCCTCGGCGTGATGAGCCACTGCTGGGAAGGCTCCAGCGAAGAATCCTTGGGCGGCCAGTGACCTTCAGGCATGTCACTCCATCTCTTCGGACCGAATTTCCTTATATGCGAACAAGGGAGCTGAGGTAGGCTGGCGTTCTGGAAAATGGCTTCAGATCTGACTTTGTATGGTTTTAGTGAGTGGAAAAAAAAGCCCTCCTTGGCACTCCCTCCACTGCTTACTTTAGGTGCATCCCCAAAGCACTTTGGCCTGCTCTGGGGAGTAAGGAGCAGGAGGGAGATGCCAGGCAGAGCCAGCCGCCACCTGGGCTGGGGCAGGACATGGCTGTGCTAAGCACGACTCTGTTTTCCCTACCAGGTTACCTTGGCAGGCTACCCGGGCTTAGTCTCCATAAGTCTCACTTTCCTCAGCTGTGTTAGAGAGACAATAACAGTAGCATTAGTTTTTCTCTTTTTCTCTTTGTCTTGCCAATGGGTTTCAGCCCCAGGCAAGTTCACTATGGATTCAATGTGACCAAAGAAATGACAGTAGAATGTTCTTGGGGTGAAAGGGTTATACCCAACTTTATTTCCACAGTGGCAGGTCAATCACTAAAGTCTCATTCACTCAGAGCCAGTCTGCATGCAGCAAGCCGGTCTCTGCCTCTGGGCCTCTGTCCTCAGCGCTGCCACCACTCCAGCCTCTGCTCTCCTGCAGTCTGGCAGCCGTGCCACCGTGTTGCCCAGAGTCCTGGGCATGGCTCTTTATATAGTCAATAACAACGTATTGCCCATGCATGTGTAGTGAGCTAGCCACCCAGGGCCAGGTGAAAATCCTGGCCACAGGAACTTTGATTTTATCCACAATCCTACACTTTCCTTAACTGTTCATGCTGTGTAGCCACCTCTGGCACAAATGGAGCAAGCGTGTGCTCAGCAGCAGCTGCTGTTCCCAACACTCCCTGTTTTAACTCCTAATCCTCTCAACATCCCTGTGGAGTAGGTTATGGTCCTCAGTTTAGAGTGGGGAGAACAGAAACCCAGAGAAGAGAGCGCAGGGGCTCTCCCGTGGTATGACCTGACATGAAACAGAAGCAGTGGGGTTAAGGTTAGTTGTTACTTCTTGTAAACTGTAATCCAGTATGATCTCATCTTACCTGGATTGCATCTAGGAAGACCCTGTTTTCAAATAAGGTCAAATTCAGAGTCTGGGAGTAAGGACTTGAACATATCTTTTGGGGGACACAATTCAACCCACTATGGATGGAGACCTCATCAATTTGTGGTAGATTCAGGCACTGCTCTTCATGAAACCCTGCCACTTTGGTTCAACCTTTTCCTGGGGGGAAACACAACACAGGTGGTATGCATTTCAAATAACCCACAGCTTTTCTCTATCCTAGACCTTAAGTGTATGCCAGGAGCCCTCAATTGCAAATCATTCCTTCTTGCTCTGTGACAGCACCTCTGCAAACTTAACAGGGAGAGGCTTACTCTGCAATCTTAAATGCACACCAGAGTAGTTGGGACTAATTGTGAGACTCCAGAGGATTCTTCTATCCATAAGCCAATTCATTCTGCTCTGGATATACCTTTGCATTCTTCATTATTTGATGCATACCCAGGTAAGTATCTTGACACTGTACCTGACACCAGGGCCTAAAAATTTCACTGATACAGGAAATAATTAGAGCACAACCTATTGAAGTGCAGCTAGATCCATTACTCAGACTTTCCCAATATACCTTGAAGCCAGAAGCAAAGGGATCAAACCTATAGTTAAAAGCCTTATATCTAAAGGTCTTCTCATGCTCTGCCTTGTAATATGCCCGTCCTCTCATTTCCCCTTGTGATTTCCCCTTATAATTCAGTTTTGACATAATAGGTAGATGATCTACTCAGAGAAAAGGGATTCCATTTGTTTATTCCAGCCTTGGAAGAAAAGGGTCATAAAGTTTCAAAAGATAAATTATAGTGTTGCCAAAATGCAGTTCATTATTCAGGGCTAAATCCCATGTAAGAAGGGAAAACACTCTCTTCTGAAAGGCTAACAATTATCCAAATTTATTCTAGACCCCTCATAAAATGTCATTGGGATAGTTCTGGGGTCTAACTAGATACTGCAGGCAATGGGTGCCACATTGTTCTGCAACTGTGAAACTTCTTTATGAACTAAGTTCTCAGTAAGAGATTCTCCCCTGGAAGCCCAGACATGAACAGGCCTTCTGGAACCTCAAGGCGGCTCCTCAATGACCTCCTTCCCTAGATAGCCATAACAGAAAGCCCCTTTGCCTATTTGTGCCCAAGAAATCTGGACAAGACCTTGTAGTCTCATGGGAACCACCCGCAACCCATCACTCACTATAGCCTTCCTGTGACCTGGTTACAAGGCTTACATCCCTAACAGAGCAGCTGCTCTGCTGCAGAACGTGATGCTCTGCTGAGCTAGTTCTAGGTTCCCTGCTTGATCTCATGGTTCTTCCTGCAGTACAGACATTACTATTGACTGGGAACACATTTTTCAGCCAGCTGATTAACCTCTTATGAAATTCTTTCTCTTTCTCTCACATTACTATTTGCTGTTGTGACACCCTGAAGCCTGCCACTCTTTCCCCTACGGGAGGGGGGAGCCTTGTGATTATCTTATCAGATAATTAGGGAATTTGTTAGACCTTGCTCAGATTTATAAGAGACTCATATTGAGAATCCTACCTAATCCTGTTTGTTGATAGATCATTCCTGAATCTGGAACTTATCAAGCAGCATATAGTGTCACTAATTTAGTTAATAACCCATTTGAAATCATCTGATACTACCAAGTGACTACCTTAAAGACACAAACAGATTCTTCCCACTGTTTTCAGAATCAGGGACTAAATGCTATAGAATATTAGTCCTTTACCAGAGTAAAATCAGCTCAGATGGCAGAATTTACTGCATTTACTAGAACTTGTCAATTAGACAAAGACTGAGAGTAAACATGAATAACAGATAGCAAATCTGCTTTTGGATTAGTACATGACTTTGAGATATCAGAGCCCCCACTAAAGTACACAGCAAGTTAAGCAGTTTTTAGATACACTCTACTTCTCTACTTCCTAGAGAGGTGATTATTATAAAGGTTGAGAACCATGCAAACAGAGAGAATGTTGAAGCTAAAGAAAATGTGCTAGCAGATCACCATGCCAAACAAGCAACCTTAATCAAGATTATGGTCCTATCTAAACCCCCAAAAGATAAATCTCTGGAGCAACTGGAAGAGGCCATTATAAAAGATCAGCATTTAGTCCCTGATTCTGAAAAGGAAGAGTGAGAAGAATCTGATTGTTCTCTTCCATTAGATAATCTCTGGTGCCTTCAAGATAGTCACTTGGTAGCATCAGATTTCAAATGGGTATTAGCTAAATTTCTCCATAAAACTTCTCATAGGGTACACATTGAATGCTATCCTGAATCAACACTGGAGAAGCTTTAAAGAGACAGCTGAAGTTATTTTGGGGTCATGTGTTGCCTGTCAACAACATAATCCTGGAAGAACTGTGAAGGTGGGATATGGCCTAGAACCAAAGCCTCAAGTGCCCTTTGAACACCTTTAAATGGATTTTATCCAGTTTCCACCCTCCATGGGATTTTAGTATGTTTTCGATTTGAGTATTTACAGCAATGAAACTTTAGGGCATCAGTACTTGGGTTCAGGCTTCACAGCTAAAGAAGCAATCTGGATTTCCACACAATTGGAGGCCACTCTGGTAGGGAACCTCAAACAGGATTCTCAGAGATCCACTAAAAGCAGCTGGTCTTCAGAAGTAGATAGGTGACAAGACCTTTTAAACAAGCAGATGACGTAGGTTAGTGAACTTGTGCCCAACGCGACGGACCAGGACTCTTGTCTAATTCCTGTTTTGTTTTATCTGCTTGCTTGTAACCATTTGTTGTCTTATTTTCTTTAGACCTCTGGTTGTCATCAATCAATAATGGCCCTTTTCCTCTCTTGTCTTTCCTTTTTATTATAATCATTGAGGCCAGAATATTACTAATTCTAATGCCATTTTTAGGTTATCCCAAACAGTAGCCATGGCCCTAGATCTTACTGATGGATGGGTGCTGACTCTGCCATCCATCACCCCAATGACAAAAACATCTGAGAAATTCCAGACTCATCAAAGGAAACGATAGAGAATTACACCTGATGGCAGCTTCACTGCAGTAACATGGAAAAATAAACAAGTTAACCTGTAATTTTACTAGTATCTTTTTCTCCCAGAAAAAGAACCAATTACTGCAATCTATCAGTGATGTCCTAGGTAATTCTAAATTTCAATCCAACAACCTTCCTAGGGTGATGAATCAAATACTTGCCACTTACCACCAACAACCTCTTTTTTTTTTTAAATAATCAGATTTATTATGCTACAGTTCTGG